TTTGCAGTCGATCTTAAACCAGAAATCCTATTATAAGCAGTCGGCAGCAAAAATTAGATCTGAAACAACTGTCATTTCATGATCGGACATGATATAAAGACCTGTCTGAGAATCCTGACAAGTCAAAATTTCAATCAACATTAATTTTTCTTGTTCCTCCGGTTTCCAGGCTAAAGTTTTATACTTTTTTTTGTTCATCAAAGTTGTAAAATCAAGACAATGTGATAATATAAAATATTAATCCCAAACATGAAATATACGCGTTCATACTTCGTACACAATAAAATCTTTATTTATCAAAAAAATAAAAACATAATAAATCTCTGTTTCGAGTTCCCAATTTATTTCAAATTTCATACCGTACATTCCTTCTGCTACAAGAAACTATATATAAAAGGTTCACATGCAGCCCTTTGGCGCAATTGTAGTCTCAAAATGTCTGATTATTTATTCCTGATCAACTGCAAACAATTTTTTTTTTTTATCTTTGTTATATAATGAGAAATAATTATTTTTTATTTTTTATTCTATTACATTTATATGTTATGCAATTTGAATTCAAAATTTTTTATTTTTAACAAAAAAAAATAATTATTGAATTATTTAAATCGTTGATAATTTTTCACTTTTTAAAAAAAACTGTTTAGTGTGAAAATTATACAGAGAATAAGTGAAATTTTCCAATGAGTTATTGAAATATGTTACATGAAACTTAATTTTTTATATCATGTGAATTATACATATGAATTTTAATACAAAACTTATATTTAATTTAAATAAATTAAAAATGAATACAATAAGTTTTTTATATTTAATCCATACAATTATTTATTATATATTTGATGTGAAAATTTCTTACAAAATATTTAGAACATTATATCTACAAACAGATACAGGATACCCTTAGAAAAATGAACAAAACACCATGATTCCAACAGCCATGTGTACAAAACAGACAGACCGTGAATGGTAGATGAAATATTAACTTCTCTTATCTCACAAGATACTTCCAATGTCAATCTATACAAATTACTGATCCATCATCACCTATCCTCTTTTTACTAGGAGGGTAACTAAAATCCCATGATCAAAGAGTTCCATTTCTGTGTATATATTCAACGCCAGAACAAAAGAAAACAAAGTTTGCTGCCCTACCATAAACCCGAGAAACGTCAAGCTTCCAAGTGAGTATCTGCTCCTCGCTATAAAATCTGAGCCAATGACACTTTCAATAAACCACTGATGTTTAGAAGTGGAACTACTGTGACCCCAGCTACCTGTTTACTGTAATAATGCTATACGGCCATCAATTATAAGCTGCTTCATTAAGCGATCAAGGTTCTACTTTCATATGACCTGGCAGAGACGCTGCATATGCAGTGGTGGATTTTCAGTCAGATTAAGAACGCTTGGCTTATGACATAAGGATTAATAGGGAGAGAAATGAGGAGTATACCATTTGCATCATCATGGCTATCAGGAGGAGCGCTGGTTGCATAATTCATCTGGACAACATTGTGAAGCTCATCGTCCCATGAATTTGGGAGCTGCACTCAACAGTATATCAAGAAAGGAACATTAATTAACACTACTCAGATTCATGAAGGCGAACTGCACATGAAATATTTCCATTATCCAGATTGCATATCGAAGCAAAATTTGTCCAACTAATATTCAGCAAAAGCAGAAATAAGGGGAGAAAAGAGAGACTTCCGGAGAACTCATATCATTTAATAATACAATTTCTGTCTATTAGTTGAGCACCGCATTATAGGGAATTCTATAAAAGCCTAGACTATTTTATATTAGCAATAAGTTGAGAAATACCTGAATAGGCTCCTTGAATCCTCCAGACATAGGTGTTAACTGGGAACTAATAGTTCTTCGAAGGAGATCAGAGGAAATCCCCATGACAGGATGAGCAGCTTGAACAAGTCCAGGTTGTGATGGATGTAGCGGAAGATAACCCATAGACATATCTGGGTGAAATCCCAGAGTAGATGAAGGACCAGCACTTGATTGAAGAATCTGTTTAACAATTCAGAGTGTTTTCTAAAGGATCAGATGAAATTTGCAGAGATGAACGATTACCAAATTAAACATGTGCTGATTGACTTACATCTTTTGCCAGGAGCGCTTCCATATTGAAATCAAGCCTTGGATTTACCGTCGCAAGTTTCATTGACAAGAACTGGAAAAGAAGGAAATATATGTACATATATATCAAAATCAATTAAAACTAGAGTATGGAAAACTGATGAGCATTTATATGAATACCCAAAGGGGGAGCCCATTCAGACAAAAACCACAGCAGTTTACAATTTTTATCATTTATGACACTCTGCAAGACTGCAACAAGATCCACAGTTTGCTCATTTATGCATCTTGAAGTCTATGAGAACATTTTCCAAAAAATTAATTGAAGTTTTATACGTTTCACAAATGCCAATTCTGCAGGATTACTACTGAAAGAAGCTGGGGATTTTAGCTTAGTACCTCAACCTGCCGCTGCAGTGACTGTACATAGTTAATGATTTCATCCAGCATCACTGCCTTGCCTGTAACCTGCACAAACAAATCAATTATGATGATAAGAATCCAAAAGCTAAGGCTGAAAATACAGAGAACTTGACTTGATTGTTCTCCCTAAGCCATAAGGTCAGAGAAAACAAACCTTGCTGCAACCAGGTACAAGTTCCTGGAGGAACTTCATCCTTTCACTGATCTTTTCTCTTCTTACCTAAAGATAAAACCAATAAACTATAACCTAAACACAAAGAAATGTAGAGGGCCAAATTTCCTGAAAACTTCAGTGTAAAAATGTACCCTTTCTGCAAGACTATGACTGTTTGTTGCCTGGCCTCGTCGAGCTCTGACATGAATGTATTCTTCTTTTGGTTGATCTGAGGCTTGAGGCCCTTTTTTGCCTTGTTTAGCAGCAGTCTTATTGGTTGTTGCAGTTGGCTTCCGATCTCCTTTCTGTTGATTTTCAGTATTATCCTTCGCAGCTTCAGAAGGTTGTTGGCCTCCTTTAATTTGATCAAGCTCATCATCCTAGCAAAAACGTCAGCTAGAAGTATTAAAACATAAATGAACAGAGATTGTAATATAGAACAAAGAACAATTTACAAGCAAATCTTTCACCTGTCCACTTCTTTTCCTTTTCTTTGAGCTGAGACCCTTAGACGAAGATGGCTCAGCTTGTCCTCCCCCACCCCCACCACCACCACTAAACTCAGTTTCATCAGACTCATTACCTGACCCACCAACACCTTGTTTTGCTTCTCCATTAGATCTGGCAAGGCTCTCGCTCTTTCTTTCATTCTTGAGTGGACTTCCTTCAGTGGTCTTATTTTCAACATGTAAAGAAGCATCTTTGGAAGCTTCACGAGCATTCAACTCATTTTTCTGAGACTGCAAACCAGACACTGGTTTCAACCCACCGCTCTTGTGAACCCCTTGTTGTCCTTGCATCATCCCCCCACCCCTAGAATAAACACCCATGGATTCAGGATTCCCAAGAGGATTCACCATATCACTAAAATTTCCCCCGTTAAAGCTCGAGAACTTGGCAGCACGCTCAATGAAGCCTGAATCAGCTGGGAACTGAGATAAACCATGCGGCAACATCCCGGATGCAGCTGGCAAAAAAATACCCCCTTTCAACATTGAACTTGGTGGATTCCACCCCATATCAAATGGTCTATCAATACCACCTGTCAAAGAGGCAGGACCCCCTTTTCTAATTCCCATTGCATTTGCAGTATTTGCACCATTTCGGACATTAGCACCAGAAAACTTGGAGTTTTGAGAACTAGAGGGGAGCTCCCAAAAATTAGGCCCAAATGAATTCACCATTGAAGGAGATGCAGAAGAAGCACCAATAACCATGGGATTATGATTATCAATAGGAACCAAACCAACAGATGTATTTGTGAGACTCATACTGCTAAATTGCCAGCCTGATGAAATACCAGGTGACTCATAGCACATTGCATTCTCATTCCCCTTTTCCAGCTCAAATTTATCATTTTCACTCATCTCCATATCCGTTCAAGAGGAAAAGAAACCGGCAGCAGACACCTTTCCCTCACAATAGTGTTTAAGTAACGAACAAACAACCTGTAGACGGCCTATTAAACAGGAACTAAGCCCTCAAATTTGACCATCACCTAAAAATGCCATCAAACGATGTATGTGATTGACCAATAATCAAAAGACCCCAAAAGAAGGAATATGTGAAAAAAAGAACAGCAAATAAATCACATCGATAACTATTCAAATCCCAAATACATACTTCAACTAAGTCCACAAAGACTAAAACTTAACACCAAAAGAAACTTCATACAAGACTCAACATCTCAAATCCATCCCCAACGAAAAAGAAAGCATGAAACTTTGTACAGGTAACCAGTGAGCCTAAACAGGGGAAAATAATTTAGAAGCAGCGACCAGAGAAACACTATATCAATTAATGAGCTTTTTTGGGCCAACCAATTAATGAATCAAAAGTTATGCAGACTGAAGTGCTACCATTTCCAAAGAAACAACTGAACTTTGAAGTACCAAAAAAACTGCACACAATGGGGCTCCAAGACAAAAGAAACACAGGAAAAAGGAAAAGTTCAAAGGTGAGTACTCAATAAAGTCTACCAGAAGCAGTCAATTAAGCGGAAAAGAAACATCGATTTCAGAACATTAAATACTCCTCTCATTCAAAACCCTAGTCAGAGTTTGCAGAACTCCAGCTCTGGAACACAGAGAAAGAGAGAGAAATCCAACTGTAAAAAGGTTGCAAGAGAAAGATACCCCATTTCAGATTCTGTGCTACTTTTTGTACCCTCTGCTCTTCCATACCAGCTTTTTTTCAAAAATACAAGCCCTTTATTGAATTTGGGTTTTTGTTCAAAACCCCTCTTCTGTTTTTCTGAGCTCAGCTACCCTGCCAACACAGTTAAAAACACAAAAGAAAGTGATAAAGGTAGGAGATTTACTGCTATGGAGAGAGAAAGAAAGAAGCTTGGCATTTGAAGAAGATAGCGGGATGAAAGAGACGAGTAAGGGCAAAGGCCCTGCATTTATACCCACGCTTGCATCAAAAAGAGAGCTCTTTGATGATTAACCACCGCCACTGCTACCATTAAAATACTAAAAAGACCTCCTTCAGAGCAAATTCTCTCCATACACTTTGTTTTAAGCTTGGTTTACTCTCCTGATGCAAATTTTTTAGTGATTATTATACCCATTTTGAGCTAGCAACTGACATTGCCAACTCTCATTTGGAGAGTTTCTATTCATCTTATTGACTGTCCTTGATTAAAAACCTTGGAAGTAGTGATAAAAGATCTTTAATGTGGTGTGTTTGGTCAAGAAACCCAAAATCTACCTCATCTTTGACAGTTCACACTAGTCCCTTTTCTTCCAAAGCACTGCTACCAGTAATTGATTAAGATCCAGACCATCTGGACCCTGCGGTGGGTATTATTATTAGTATTATTTTTAGCAGGATGAAGATTTATGGCATGGCGTTGGTATCAATCTTATTTTTGATAACCAAACTGTCTTATCCAT